CCACGAAGATCTCCAGATCATTTAGAACATGGTTCAAAATGTCCTAAAAGAAAGCATCATATGAAACTCTCAAGATAAGACAGATAATTGCACAGGAAGATTAAATAATTCATGGAAAATACAGAAGTTTTCACAGCACTAACCGTGTTCCTCTGTGACTCTGTCTTATCACGGTCCATCTCTGGGTTGCTCTGCATGTCATACGGGTCTAAATGGTTCATTGGTTCTACTTGTGGACTATAGGGACGTGAGGAAGGCATATGATCTGCATTGCAACAAAGAGAGAAAAAAAATTTCAACAGAAGCTGGTGTGACTTAAACTCGGAATACTAAAAATACTGAGTTTATTTCTTATTTGCAGAGAAGAAATGTAAAAAGTGAGTTTCAGTCGCAGTGAATTCATTAAATAAATTGAATTTCTCTTGGATAATAATGATAATTTCTTTATGTTTCTACTGTACCCGGCTCTCGCCACGATGGGGCCATGAAGTCTGGGGTTGGAGCTCTCCACTCTTCCTGCATAAAGGGGGGCGCAGTCTGACGGAAACTTCCCGGCCTATGTTGTGTCATGGGTTCAAATTCATTCCTGGAAAGAAATGATTAATGAATGTACTGTACTTTCCACATTTGTCCTTCCTGCTTCCCTGTAATTAAATCTTACCCATGTTTTAGGTTTTTTTGAACACCCTACCTGACATCCGGAGGCTCTCTGTGTTGGTCCAGATTACCACCTCCTCTTTGGACTGCCTTATCCAGGTCGCTCTTGATCAGATCGGCCTGATAGAGCAAACGGGAAGAAAAATCGACATTACAATTATCATCAGCTCTCTGGCGACTTTGAGGAGGTCAAAGTTAACTCACCCCAGTCTCCTCACACTGGAACATGAAGCACCGGCGGTTGCGTTTGCTGCGTTCCTGCACAGTTATCGCCAGCAGAGAGTTGAAGTCGCAGCTGTCCAGCACAGCTTTGATTTGCACGATACAGCTCAAAGGTACCAAGTCCAGTTCTGTCTGTCAAAATCAGATTGATCGAACGTTAATAGACAACACTGAAAGTCTTTAAAAAGAGGGAAAAGGGGAATTTAAAAAATGGTCTGGCATTTTATTTTGCTCATACACATTTTACATGTTTTTCAGATGTTTCCATTTCATAATTAGAGAATTTTTCTCACACACAGCTTAGCACTTTAAACAGTTATGGTTGTGTAACGGTTTTGCTTCACCTGGTTGCACTTTTATATACTCTTTGGAATGGGAAATGTTACTGCTACAGCACAGAATTATATTTAGTTTTGTTGAAGAAAGTGACCTTAATCTCAAACCCATCAGGACCCTTTGGGATGAAGTGGAACAATAACATTAAATAGTGGCCTCAAATCCCAAACTTACATAATTTTACTAACAAACTGAGACAATGAAGTAACATTACTATACCATTTCACTTCCTGCACAGACAAGTTTGCATTATTGCTGCTGTATATCACCACAGCAGATTTTAAATCAATAAAGTCCTGATTGAAGTGCAGACTTTCCGCTTTAATTCGAGAGGTTTAACAAAAGTGCTGCATAAATTATTTAGGAATTACAGACACACAGTGCCCCATGTGCAGAGGCCCAAAGCTAACAGGTGAGGCCTGCTCCCATGTTAGTTAATGACAAATGAAGCAGACTTAATATCTCAAGTTAATTCAAAGGGATGAATTTGTGTTTTATAGCTTTTCACTGTCATTTTAATTATGAGTCAATGTAAATGTGGGAAGCCATCATTAAGATCACAAAACAAAGTAAACCAATAATCAGAGACAGCAACAACTTTAGTAGTGGCCACAACAATCTGGTTTAGCATCGGTTAATTGATGTCTTAATTATTTTAGCATCCGTTCGCTTCTGCTTATCCTTTTCAGGGTTGCGGGGGGGCGGGCGCTGGAGCCTATCCCAGCTGTCAAAGGGCGAGAGGTGGGGTACACCCTGGACAGGTCTCCAGTCTGTCGCAGGGCCAACACACAGGGACAGACAACCATTCGCACTCACGTTCACTCGCACATTCAGACCTAGTGGCAATTTGGATTATCCAATTAACCTATCCACAAGTTAGCCATACAAAACCACTGGTTATATTTAAGAACGGGAAGGTCAGATTAAACGTTGCCAGAAAACATCTTAAAGAGCTTGCACAGCTCTGAAAAAATCTTTGGAATGATGGAACAGAGAAAAACAGAGAAACAGCTCGTGATCGAAGCATAACACATCTGTTAAACACAATGGAGGCAATGCTATGGCGTGAACATGTATGGATGCCAGTGGATCCCTCACCAATAGACTAGTGTTTATTGATGATGTGACTGCTGATGGAAGTATCAGGATGGACTGTGAAGTGCTTTCTGCTCAGATTCAGCCAAATGCTGCAAAACTGTTAATTGGACAGCACTTCACAGTGCAAATGGACCCAAAGCAAACCAAGAGAGGAAAATAAATAATATTCTTTACTTCAACTGACCAGCTTTTCAGTCACTAAAGACAAAACTGAAGGCATAGACCCACAAACAAGCAGCAGCTGAAGGTGAAACACAGCGTTGAAAATCCTCACTTCAGTCACATTTTGAGGGTTTCAAATCCACTGTGGTGGTGTGCTGACTCAAAACTCTGTCCAACAATCGTACTATAATGTCCGTTCCAGACATTTCATTGTTCTTCTAGAAGTGATGAACCTACTTTGGTCTCAATGTCATTGAGCAGAAGATATGGTCCCTGAACCTCCATGATCATCTCCTGATGCCACAGACGACCTTTGGCATCCAGGTTCTTGAGCTTAGCCACGCAGTCGTCCACGGTCTTCACCTCCTGGCCATCAATCTCACAGGTGAAAAGATGCTGTGGGTTCAATTAGGAGGGTCAGTGATGATGAGAGCTAAATGTTGTGCTGTTAGTAATGTGTATGTGTCCATGATGATGTAGAGTTTATACTCATTTACCTCCACTCTGACATTGATGCTGTCAGGATTTTTGCTCAGTGTCTCCGAGTACTCCTTTCTCTGTACTGATGTAAAGAACATTCGATTTTGTGCAATATCATCATAAAATATGTATACGTAGATATGAGGTGTTGTAATGCCTGGACATACTGTAAATAGATCTTCCACTGGGTCTGGTTGAGTCACTTCTCCTCAGCGGACTCTCCCTAATTTCATCTTGTTGGAAAGCCCGCCTCGGAGGGAGGTCCTCCGATGTGAAGCCCCTGAAGAAGAAGAAACGATTCCTTAACGTTCAGTTTCCTTCCACCTCCATAAAATCATCTCAGTCAAAGCTCAGCGATATGAAGATAAGCTATCCGCAGTCCACAGCTCAAGGAAGCTTCAGGGTTACTATGGCACTGTGCTGTTTTATTATGTAAGGGTGTGAACGGGTATGTATCAGAAACACCGCAAATCAGCGTCTTATAGCATATTAAACATAACTAGTGAACTTGAAAAGGAAAATTAAATCAACCAACTTTGGGAAATAGGAGAAGGGGGCACTGTTCCCAAACATCTTCAGTCTACCCCGGCTTTAAACTTTAGACTGGGAGGAATCACACAGAAACCACTTGAACCTGTAAGAAAGACAAAATGATTTGTTTACGTTGGAAAGTTTTCAGATTCTCACAGCTTGGAGCAAAAGATTTCTTCTTAGCACTTAGAGTTCAAATTGATTTGATAAGCAAAGAAACACTTCCTCAGTTCAGTGTGCTTTTATTGCTTCTCGCGAGTTCAGCATAGAAAACTACAACAAGGCTTTTCCATACAAGTGACACCACCGAGGCCTGTTTTCTTGTTATTTATAACCATGTTATCATGGGTAGTGCTTTTTTTTCCATTAAAAATTAAACACAGATTAAATATAAATATACGCAGAGTTACTAATCAAGCACGTAGAGGTTAATATAAAGTAAATCAATTACAAGAACTGCTTTAAGTCCAAGGACTAAATTAACAAACAGTCTCAATAATAATTTATCTTGAAGACTCATGAATACACAAACCAGCCTCGGTGTTTGTGTTAGATATTGGTATAAGTGACAGGTTGTTATTGCGGCTACATATACATTTTCTAAACACATCGAGTGGTTAAGACTAGTTTATTTGGTTATGTATATTTAAGCTATGACTGAAGGTGAGGAGCTTTCATGGCAACAACTACACACTTTCTGTAAAAGCAACGTCACATTTCAGAGCAGGACACAGTGCTGTTCTCAGCAGCTTTTTCCTTTTTAAACCACTTCCTATATAACCTGTCACTTGACCTTCACATAACTGCTGCATGTCGTTTTACCTTGTAGCCTCAGCTCTGCTCCGGTGTCATCGTTCCCTTCTTTCAAACGAATTTGGCACCAACAGGTCTCATAGCGGGAGTGTTCCTCACAAACAGCTTCGAGAAAAATTTCCTTAACTTCCTCGTGAAAGCAGCAGGATCAAAGTGCAACTACGTGATGGGAGTGACAGATCGCAAGGGCCGGCCCAATTTGTCACTTGAGGATAAGTATTTGAAGCATGGAAAAAAGGTAGTGGCACATTATGAGGCCAAAGGTTTTGAAATTATTCATAGCAGCACCTCCTCCTCTTCCTACAGGGGGATCAAAGGTCTCAAGTGTTCCTATTCTTGTGCCACTATCCATGGATATAAAACTGTGATGTCACTCACAAAATAGAGCAAACTCTGAATAAGAAAGACACAACCAGCTGAAGATAAGAGAACCATTTATTTTATCATCTGCTGACGTGTAAATACTGTACACAACCATAACGCTGACAGAGACAATCTATAAAGAAAGAATAGTTTATTCTGCAAAGAAAAGTGACGTCTCGTCTTCGGGCGATGAGTCCGGGACTAGAGGAGGCTTCTATAGAGCGATGACAGTTTAGGCTGTAGCTTTGGCCTGAGTGGCCTTGGCCAACACCTTCAGGTCTGTGATGCATTTGGCAATGCTCTCCTTCTCCTAACAAAACAAAACAAAAAAGATATTAAAACTCTGAAACATACAAGGAGTTGGTCTCGAAGTGAAATGATTAGACAGTAAAAATACATATGCATATAACAAATTAAAGAAAAAACATTGACATTTTTTAAATCTTCCACCAAGACTTTTTCTGCCAACACGAGCTTTACCGATATAAAACAAACACAAGAAAATCAGTAAACATGAAATATCTGACAAACTAAACCATCACGGCCCAAATATGAGACTTTTATTTTTTTTAATCCTTAAAGATTTCTGTTGTTTGGTTTTTTTGACATTTCATGAAAAATAAATAAAAAGGTTTTCTTTAATAACTTTTATTTATTGGATATCAGCACCCTAAGCTAGAAAAGAAATAAGAAAAATAAAGACTGACCTGCTGGGGTGTGATGCTGCTGATGACGCTCTTCTCCACCCAGTTAATCATGTGCTCTTGCTCCAGCCTACGGTTGAGGTCCTGCAGCGCAATCTGATAGTCCAAGCGCCTCTTCACCTCATTGGTCACCATATGTAGCCTCTCCCTGTAGTTGGTCTCCAACAGCATGGCCACGTTGTTCTGAGAGGAAAACAGGAGATAGGAATGTTTAACTGTAACAGCTTTAATGTGAAATTCCAGCTCTAGGGATACTTTTTCAAAATAATTAAAAAAAAACTTTTAACAAAAGATATAACTGAAGTAAAAAATGTGTTTTCAGTCAGGACATGTTTAGACATAGACTTCAATCATGTAGTGCTGTGTCCCAAACAAATTAGGGCTGTCAGATTTGTAATGCATTTATATACAGACTAAAGACTTAAATTCATTCTATTGTGACATCTATACAAGATAGTTTAGCTATATATGTTAAAATGGTACTGTCAGTCCGAAATCTGGAAACATTTGTATACTGACAGTTTATTTTGAGTGGAAATTCTCCATTAGTGTGAGAATGAGCACCATCATGTGGTTGGATTCAGCAAGTTACACATTTTCTTTTCACAGACTACTCCTCGAGGAGGCAAGCAAACAAATAAATAAATACATAAATAAATAAATAATCATGCTGAAAAATTGTTTAAAATTTGATAAATATTAGGCTAGGCCCAGGACTAACGGTTACTGTTGATTTAGCGGTCAGTCCATCTTCCTACACCCACCCGTGGCTAATAGATTTGGACAGTGACTGAAAGAATGAGCGTCCTCTGAAGGGTGGCTGGATTCTCTCAGAGATGACGAGGGTGATGAGCTCAGTCACTCAGGAGGGAGCAGAAATGCTACTCCACTACATCATCAGGAACCAACTTAGATGATTCAGGCATGTGACTAGAACACCTGCTGGACCCTCCTAAGTGAGGTGTTTCAAGCATGTCCGGCAGGGAGGAGGCTCCAGGAAAGACCCAAGACACATCGGAGAGATGTCTCTCAAAGAGTTTGGGCACATCTCACCATCCTACCAGATGAGCTGGAAGAGGAAGTCTGGGCATCTCTCTCAGACTGCTGCCCCCACATCCCAAAACGGAATAAGCGGTAGAAAATGGATGGGTGGAATAATAAGCCAGGAATGGCCTCAAATTATTTTTCCTTTTGTTTCCAAATTAATGACACTAAAATTGCATGAGAGTAAAAGGTGGAGAACGAGTCTAACCTACATATTATTCAGCATATTTCAAACAGTGGTATCATTAAACTGAAAAATGTCATTTTGAAAGTACCCAGTTATTATCAACACTGGTATAGCCACCCACAGTGATGAACAACTCACATTAAAAAAAAAAAAAAGTCTCGCCACAGACCGTTTGGTTCCCACAGAGTACTGTGGGGTACACTACAAAGCAAGTTCAACACAGCCAGGCCGTCATTGTGTTAGCTTGCTTGACAAAACCTAAAACCCAGTCGCAGATAATTGGTATCAACTCTTTGGTAACCCAGGTTTTCAGCTTCAGGATCAACATGCGCTCACAAACGGGTGTTTACTTCAGCCACAATAAATCCATCTGAGCACTGCCTACTTCAATCAGAGAAATTATCAGAGAAACTGATGGAAAACATTTTTTGAAACTGACATTGAAAAGAAAATGGAGCACTGTATAATAAGACGAGAGTAATGTTACAAATGACCATTAGTCATGTGTCAAGCCACGATCATCAAGTTCACCAAGGATCAAAAAATAAATAAATATTGATGTAATCATTTATTTTATCACTAGGCGTAGTCTCTGTTGTAGACACTGGCAGATTAAAGCCTCTTTACCCATTAGTACTTGTCTAGTACCACCTATATGCACCGTGTTGTTATTGCAACACGGCTAAACATCCCGTGACATCATTTGTACGCAACACGAACGCCACAACAAAGGTGTACGTCAAAGTGATGTGATACCTGCTGCTTGGTCAGTGGCTTTTCGTCAGAGTCGGGGAACCCGGCATTGTTTTTTGTAGCCATTTCCCTTGCAGAGTTTCAAAGATGTCAGTTTTGATTTTTGTAAAGGACTAGCCAGTTGATGACGTCACATTCTCAGATCGCTTGGAACCCCGACCAACTAGGTACTAAGGACTAATGGTCCCGGTATCAGGTACTATGACCTAATGGAAAAACCCTAAAAACCGCACTGAGCCAAGCCGGCGTGAGTAGGTACTAATGGAAAAGTTGCTGCACGGTGTACTTGTTTATGGATTTGCCTAAGAAGCAGAATCTCCCTGGTTTGATCCCAGTAGGAGAGATTTCACTTCGAATTGTATCAGAAACGGCATCAGGTGTAAAAATATCTGCTAAATCAAACATACAGAGCTACCAGCTGTGGTGACTGCTTAGGGCTAATGTGTTAACCACTACACTACAGACCCAGACAAGGTTATAATTCTTCTGCTCTTGGAGCTGAAGGTGGCAGCTGTCAAAATGATGTTAACTGGAATACTTAAGTTAAGATACTGGAATATAAAAACAGAAATGAAAGGATGGTGATGCTTACCCTCTTGGCATCAAAGAGCATCGCCCTTCCTTCTACTCGCCACTGCTCCTTCTTCTCATTCTCAGTGGCTTGAACCAAGCTGGATATGGCGAAGTCCTTCACCTCCTGAGCCCTGGCCACTTTTTCCTGAAGACAAAAGCAGCAGAAAATATTGGGGTCATTGGAAAGGTCGTGCACAAGAGAAAAGTCCTTTGGTACAGTACTCTCTCCACTGTATCCAAACAAAATAAATAAATAAAACTTGACAAAAGGGATATGAAACCACAAAAAAAAAAAAGAAAGAAACAAAAGCAGTGGTTATCAGCCTACCTCGTTCAGTTTGTCAGCAAAAGCTCCAACACTTGGCCCAAATTTCTTCACACCATAGATGATCACAGCTCCTATGGAGGCTGCAGCGAATGTCTCATGGTTGATGACATAGATTTCCTTAGAAAGCATGTACAGGAGGAGGCCAGCACCCAGCATGTAGGGTCCTATTGAGAGAGGAGGGGAAATACAAAGTAAAAGTGAGATGTGTAACTACCATTGCACTTAAGATCTTTGGAGACTGTTGATATATTTAAACAGAATCTTAAGAACCATCTAT